TCTCCAGTGACCTACTAATGGGCTTTGGGTCTCCACTCCGCACTCCCCCCATCATTCACTATATATCCTCGGTGATCTCTTCATCAGGGCAAACATTGAGCAGGGCCATGTCATAAGAATTAATTGTTCTTATATTGGGGCTAGAATTAAGTGTGAGCCCCAAATTCATGCCTAGATCTCTATTTTGCCTGTCTCTGGTTCAATTTAGAGACATCATTATCATTTTATGATAGAAAATATTATTAATCTATTAATTCTATTGATAATGTCATTAATTTAACCAGTGTTATAGAGTTTAACACACTGTTGAGAAAAGGAAATTATACAAGTTTCAGATTGACATACATAGCTTGTCGACTTATATAGATTAGACTCATAAGTGACTGTACACTATTTACAGAAACGATGGGGTTTATAGGGCAACATTTTCAATAACACTTATTTATAAAAGGCAGAACTATGCTTGCAAGATTAATACATGTCATACGAAAGCAAGGAGGGCATTAAAATAATACATATGTTGTAGTCCCAGGCTATCATTCATTGGTTCCACTTAATGCAAGGGATCCAAACCGAAGTCCAGTGACCACCAATTCCATAACTTTGGGATAGCAGTCATCTGCTTCTTCTCACACAAGAGCATTTCAGCCTTAAGTCCAAGGGAGTATATCAATTCCATAGATCTCTTATAGGTGAGTGTAAGTTCAAGCTTAGTTGACTTAATGGAGTTTCTGTACACCTTGAAAGGACAGAGTCTAAAGTCACAATAGTGGTCATTTGGTCTTATATAATTGAGTAAGAGAGTACAGTATTCATGGGTGATAATATTTATTTTAAGTGTTATTTGGATTGAAGGTGACCAGCAGAAGTGACTTCTATGAGAAGTTCAAAGTTTATGGATGTTGTCTTGGGGGCTCCTTTAGTGTCTGTTCATCCAGTAAGTCTGGCCCTTTATAGGAATTTGAGTTTTCTTCTATATTTTCTCCCATTTCATCTAGGACCTTCTCTTATGTTTCTGATTAAAATGGTTGGTTGAAATAGGCAGGTGATATCTAGTTCTTTCATCCTCAGGCTAGATGAGGTCATGGCTCATGTGGGCTGTTAGTCCTGTGGAATAGTTTCTCTTTGATTTCCTTCCATCTCTTTCATTCCAGACAAGTGAAGACCAATGTTTGTTTACATCCAGTTTTTGACCAACCTTGGCTACTCAGGAAGTAGCCATTGCCTTATCTTACCATTTTCTTTGATGCCAAGCTACTCAAAAGAGCTTGCTGTTTCACCTCCCAATGCCTCTCTGATATTAACCCCTAACTGCTGTTTCCCTACCTCTGTCTTAGTGGTTAGGACATTGGTTATGCTTTATTTTTGAAAAATTGTCTTTCTGTTTACTTTCTGCATGTGGTAGGCTGGGTGGTCTAAAGAAACAAGTCCAGTGTCACTCAGCTATGCATAAGAAAGAGATTTATATCAAGAGCCCTTAATAAAATGTTTAAGAAAAAAAGAAGTAATTATATATCAAGAAGGCAACCCATCCCAATCCATAAGTCCAGTGCTAGTCCTTAAATCCTTCTTCGGGCTCATGGAGGTGTACACAGGTGACACAGAATGGTGACCTGCGAAGCCGAAAGATCACAGGTTGCTGGGTGCAGAGTCACATGGATCCAAAGTCAGTGGAAGCAGGGCAGGCACCAGCAGCTCTCAGGGTCTGCATCAGAGTCCAGCAAGCAGGAAGGCAGAGTGGCAAAGAGAGAGGGAAGTTGCCTCAAAGAGGCCACACCCCTCAAAGAGGCATCATCAGCCTGTGACCTGATTGACAAGTCGAATTCTACCCCTACACTTTTATACGTCTTCAAGTTGACATAACATTTTCTAACTACCACACTCTGGTAATGTTTTCCTTTGTTAGGGAGTGTGGAGTGGAGACCCAAAGCCCATTAGTAGACCACTGGAGATCCCCTTGCAGAGGGTTCTCGGTAGGAGACGAGCCAGTCAGGGTGCGATGTAGCAACGATGAAAAATACAACTTTCCTCTAGTTCCTAAATG